TCTCATGTCCTGGGTCCTGTTTTTTGTCAAATTGAACATGATGTCAAATTAAAGCCATCACAGGAACAGTCAGAGTGAAGCACCCAGTTTAATGAGGCAGCGTTGAAAATCAATAACTTAATTGCAGCTGTTTGATGGACTTTTATCCAATTTATAGTTCTCCTGCCCTGCTACGTGTGGAGCATGAGGACGTGGTGCTGTGTCTGGCTCTGGGCAGGAGGCAGGTTCACTTCTCCTGGTCTCCAGCAGCTCCCTGTGCTGCACAGGTGGTGCTGGAGCTGGGAGCAGGCCCTGGCCCACAGGTCCCTGCATGGGCTGGAGGTGGCCACAGGGCTTGTAACTATCAGAGAAGGGGCAGGCTGGTGAGCGGGGCTTGTCCCTGGGTCCTTCTCAGAGGGCCCAGCAGAAATGGTGCCCAACTCTTCCCCAGCCATTTTCCAGCTCACCGGAACGGGAACCCTCCGGTGAGTGAGTCCTGCCCTGTGAGCAGCTGTGAGCTAACTGACGACTGGTTCCTCCTGGCACAATGGGACAAAAGGGCATTTTTGGTCGTGTTTTGGGTGACCTGGCATCTGGGCCTCTGGGGGAGATGTTTCTGCACTTGCATACAGCTATTTGCTCACTTTTGTGAGTGCACACATGCTGCTGGTGTTGGCGTCTGCTCTGCTGTTTTGACAGTCCTTGGCCTCTGGGTTTGTGCTCTTGCTTCTTTCCTGCTTTTATCTGTTTCCCTGTTGTCCCTGCTGCAGGCACATCTGTGATGCAGGTGATGGCATCTGATGCTGACGACCCCACGTACGGGAGCAGCGCTCGGGTGGTCTACAGCGTGCTGGAGGGCGAGCAGCACTTCACTGTGGACAGCAAAACAGGTGAGCAGCTTCCAGGGAACACCGTGGGGTGGCCAGGGCAGAGAGCAGACCTCAGCCTTGCTCCTGCACCTCCACACTTGATGTTTGTGCTGGGGTCCTGCCCTGCACGCTTGTGCCACCGGCATTGCCAGGCATTGGAGGCGAAGCCCTGCGCTCCGTGGCTGCCTTGTGCAGTGCCCTCGTGGAAGCGCCTGGAGCGAGATCTGCTCCCAACCTGGGTGCCCTGTTCCACCACCCTCTGTAGTTCCGTGCTCATTGCCGGGAGCAAGGATGTGCCTGCCACAGGCACATAAAACCTCAATGTGAAAGGTTTAAATACTACCAGAGGGCCCTTACCAAAGGCTGCATTGTTATCACCCGGGCTTTGATTAAAGGTAACACTTTAAATTAAGGATTGGTTTATAAATGTTCTATTAATATTTAATGCAAGAACAGTAGAAACTGTTCTATGCCTTAATAACTTATAATAGAGCCTATTGTAAAATGCATCTGTAATAAATCTCTAGCAGATGATACTCTGACATACTGGTTAGAGTAGACCATAACCAGGAGATGTTGGGGTATATATTCTCCCTGCCTCCCAGGAGTGTGACTCTCATTACCTTTAATGGGAGCCTTGCAAGCTTGCTAGAGAGGGAAGACAAACGCTAATAAGAGGTATTTAAGGCGCAAAGCATGCACTGAAGTACCCACCATTTAATGAATAGTCGTCAAAGGACAAGCTTGCTGGGTTGTTGCAGTCCTTGTTGGAAAGCCAGTGGGTGAAGTACCCCCACTGGGCTGAGCAGTGGTGGTATAGAAACCTAGCCTAAATGCCAAGTGTCAGACTGACCTGTGTCTGTGCTAGCAGTGATTTTTCCAGTCTATATTTATGTAAGAAAGAATTAAATGAATTCAGAGGCCCTGGGGTAAGGAGGCTGGGGAAGGTACATGTGCCTGAGCCTTTGCATCTGTGTGAAACCATGCATCTCCTGATGTGCGCAGGCAAGCGGGTCACAGCTCAGCCTGTCACCAGTCCTGCTGCTGCTGGAGGAGGCCTCGAATCTGGGGCAGCTTCTGGGCACAGCTGGCACCCGTGCTGGTACCTGGTGGAAAACACCATTTTCTGGTCAGAGGCTGGTGCTGGGAGCTGGGATGCATGAACGCAGCTGCATCGTTCTGCCTGGCCTGGGGCTGCCCTGCAGCCGCCCGTGCTTTCTGCTCAGGTCTGCATTGTTTTATATTAAAAGGTGGCAGTCGGGAATGATGGGTGAGCATTGGAAATTTGTGTCCGGGTGGGATCTTGTTAGTCTGAGACTCTGCAAGGGGAAGCCTGGAACTGGGCTGCCAGGATGCGGAGGCGCCACCAAGAGCACATGCAAGCCAGGACATGCTGAAGCCGGGCTTCCTGCAACAACATTAATACTGCTGTTTTAGGACATAAACTAAAATGTGCCCTGTGAGCTGTGCTGTGAGTTATTGTCGCTCCTTGGATCCAGGCTTCTTGATTCCTTGACTTCTTGTGTCTTAATTCTCAAGCTGCCTGTTCCCTGTGCAGGGGCCTGGCTTGATTTACTGTTCTGCTCGCTCGCGACGCACAAAAGCGAAACCGCTGACAGGCTGCGGAGGGGCCTCGGCCCCTCTAAAGCACATCCGCGTGCGGGATTCCCGGCTCCCGGGCCGTGCCGGGCCCCCCCCCCGGAAGCCGGCACGTGCGGATGTGCTGCGGAGCCAGCGGGTCCACAGAGCATCCTCTGGAGCAAACCCCATCCCACTCCCACCTTGCGCTTGAGTGGGCGTTTGTGCTGTGCTGGAATGCTGGCCTGGCCCCCGGGTGGCCCAGCTTCTGCCCTGAGCATAAGATTTAATTATCCATAGCAGCAGCATAACTCTGGGAGCCGCCGTTGTTATTAATGGCCGTAAAAAGAACCATAAAAACCTGGCGTGTTACATTTCTTGTAATATATGATAATGAAGAAACATTCATTTTCCTCTTTTGGCTCTGACCTGCTTTCTACCTGTTCTTGCACATGCAGGTGCTCCTTATAGCACAACTAAGCCTATGGGTTGTTCACCTTTTTAACTGGGTCCTTTGCATCGTTCTTTGTAGTGCAGGTGTTGCCCAAGCGTGGTGTGCACTGTGGTCGCTTAGTCTGTCCTCCAACCTTGGCTGTTGCTAGCTGTAGTGTTCAGCTGGGGTTTTGGGCTGGTAGAGCTTCCAAAGGCAGGATCCAAACTGTACGGCTGGCAGGACAGGCTGCGTGTGAGTCCTGGGCAGCGGAGATGGAGCAGGACTCTGCTCAGAGGTGCATAGCAAAAGAACACAAAAAGCAGCCAAGGGAAATAACTATGGGACATAAGAAGAATATTCTTTACCACAAAAGTGCTGCATCCCTATCCTTGGAGATGGTCAAAACCCAACTGGGCATGATCTGAAGTAACTGGATCTGCTGTTAAAGATGGCCTGCTCTGAAATGTGGTTGGACAAGAGACCTTTCGAGGTTCTTCCAGATGTGCGAATCCCTTATTGCTGTGGCTTTGCACTGAACTGGTGGGGGCATGATGGTTGTGACTCCCCTCAACTAAAATGTGCTTTGTCTGGAGGGTCTCCAAGGACGCGGACTTAGGAGCTAGAGGTATCTAAAAGCAAAGTAAGCCCATAATGATGGGATTCCTGGAAGGCAGTTACCTGCTGAGCACTTTGTCCAGCTTTATTTTTATAAGCCAGCAGTGTCTGCTGTTGAGCAGATTTGCTGGTATTTGTATGATGCTGTGAGTGTCCCCTTGCCTGGTAATTACACTCTGATTAATCTGGATCATGCTGGAAAACCACATGTGCCTTGTACCAGAGGGGATGCCGTTGTGTGTATGCATTATTCAACTATAGCAGATGCTGTCAAGAAGTAGGAAGATGAGTCCAAGTTGGAGGTTGTTCTTGCTGTGCTGGCAGTGTCCAAGAAGGGCAGGGTTTGATTTTTCTGGTTGGAAGGATGGTGAATTTGTGCATCTTGAGAGGTGATGGCAGAAACTTCTGTGTTCTGCCCAGACTGTGCAGGTCCCTCCTTGCCTCTTCTGTCTCTGTGCCAAGAAGGGATTTGCCACCATTTGCTACTGCTTTTGCAGAGCTCCTGGGGCTCAGGTCTGGGAGCAGAGGCTCATCTGGCTCCATGTGGATTTGCTGCTGGCAGCCGTTCGTGCTGAGCCTCACGGCGCCGTGGATGAGGAATCGGTGTGGAGCAGGCTCGACGTGCCGAGGCCGTGACCATCGAGGCTGTAGCGTGGGGTGCCCGTGTGGCTTCAGAGGGAACAACTGCCTGGGTGACGGTCCTGCTGCGCTTGCAGAGGCTTGGGACAGGGAGTCCCAGTCCCCCACGTCCAGCCCCAAGTTCTGCTTTTCTGGGATGCAGGAGGTGGTACCTGCTGCCAGGCTGCTCTGGGCTGGGGACGATCCTGTGTCCCCATGCCCTGGAAGAGCCACAAGCAGCAGCTGGGGCTCTCGGCCACCCTGCTCTGCATGAGCTGCTTCGTCTGGTGTGTCCCAGGGACAGGTGACCTTGGAGGTGCCCTGGGAAGTGCCTTAGCACTCTCTTCCATTCTTACAAAGGGTATTATGAGCTGTATCGTTATGAGTCGCTCCGTTAAGTCATTACAACCTTAGTGAATACATGAGCTTTATCCCTCTCATCCCAATTCATCACTATTGTGCTGACATGAATAATTTTCATTATAAAATGCTTCAGACCCTGTTAATTAACAGAATTGCTTAAATTTCAATGAGATAGTTCTTGCCCAGAAATAACATTTTTATATTCCTAGCAGTGTCACAGGAGAAGCCTGTGAGCACAACCAGCTGGGGCCAGCCCGTGCCGTTCCAGGCCCAGGGTCCTTGCGCAGGGCCCTGTGTGCCTTCCCCAGGCTGCATCTCACTGGGCCGTGTGCTGGAGGCGCCTGCACCCATCGCTGCAGCGTGGTGGCCTGCGTGGACCACGTGGGCTGGGGCTCCTGATTTGGTGACTTGTGAGCAGTTCTGGAGGAGCCAGGGAGCCTGCACAAACCCTGGCCCCACCACAGGAACCCAGTACCCCTGACTGCCCTAAGGGGCTGTGATGCTCCCTCAGATAAAGGGATTTTGCAGTGCTGGGAGCATGGACCTGCATGACTGGTGGCCTGGGGCTGTGAGCCACCTCAGCCTGTGAAGCTGGAAGTGCAGGAGAGACGGGGAATGAGGCAGAGCATCCTGATTCATGGGACTGGAGGCAGTGAGAGTGCAGGTAATTGCAGAGCTGGAATGACAGAGGAACCAGGGGAGCTGGGTGAAATTGTGCCTATCCGCAGCAGCCAGAGAGCTGCAGGGATCCGAAACAGTGGTGATGTCTTTATAATAAATCCTAACAATGATAATCGCTGGAATAATTGCTAGTCTCAGAAAGTGAGGAGAGATAAATGTCTCCAGAACAGTGCTGCCAGTTTCTGCTGCACCTGTAATGTCATGAAAAGGAGAAAAAAATCCCCAATTCCTCCCAGCTCCTTTCGAGCTCCCACACTGGTGGGGCTGAGGTGGATGAGGTCGCTCCAGACAAGTGCAGAGGCGGTGGGGCCGGTGTCTCGGAGCCTCTGGCTGTGTCCCCGAAGCCCCGTTTTGCCTCCTTGCAGTTGCCTGTGCAGGAGGGGGCTCTGGTCGGTGCAGGGGCTGCTGTGCCACACGCAGGCCGTGCTGGGCCTTTCCAGAGGGGTCTGCCCTGCTCCAGGCACCTGCCAAGGTCTGGCATCGCTCGTGCTCCTCTTAGGGGTGCCTGGCAGCGCCAGGGTGATGCTCCGGGGTCTGTTGGATGCAGGAGCGGCTCCGCGTCGGAGCGCTGCGCTGGAGCCCCACGTGCCGCAGCGGGACAACCCTGTGCAGCGTCTTCCCTAGCGCCAGGCAGGATGGCGGGTAGAGAAAAGCAAAGCTGGAAGTTTATGTTGCTCACAGGAGAGAAGGTAGAGCTGATGGTTAAGCGAAAGAACCTGCAAGAGCAAACAACTACAAGAAAAAGAAAACTATCTGAATATGTGGGAGACTCAAAGTGAGCTGGAGGGGATGTTTCTAGGTAATGTGGAGTGGGAATGTGCTGCTAATGACCGCACATTCTTACTGCTCTAGCATTGCTGTGCACGGTGCCACCCAGGGCAGAGCTGTCCCTTTGTGCACAGACACCGTTTGGTCTCTGCTTTGTTGCTATGCAAATGGATCTGCCCCAATTGGCAGAGAAGTCACAATTTCTGCCCTCCAAGGGGCTTTTTTGGGGGGTTTTACAATGCTTTCCTCCTTGTCTTACATTTCTTTGTTTTTCAATCCTAGTCATTCTTTCAAGCCCAGGTAACCAAAGACCTGCGCTAAAGACTTTTGTTTTGCTATTCCCCTTCCTAAGGGGAACATTTAGTGTCATGCTTTTAGCTAAGCTTTGTGATCTCAGGTGCATCTTCAGCCCCTCACATGGCCTATTTGTAGCATCTCTGACCTCCTTAGCTTAGAGGGACCCTGGAGAGTAGGGGTCTTCGTGCAGAAACATTTTTAAGATGGCCCAGCCTGCAGACCCTGGGCGCTAGGTGGGTGCAGGCGACAGGGCCAGATCAGCCCCATGTGCCCTGCTCGCTCCAGTGCGGGTGGTCACGCTGAGCCATGGGGACCCTGAGCTGCTGCATCCCCTTACCCGAGTGGTGAGGAGAGCGGGGCTGCTGCAGCCTTGTGCTGGGGCATCCCGGGCTCTTGCAGCCCCATGCAGACTCACAGCCCTGTTCACGATGTGCCCATGCTCACGCCGTCCTCTGCTTTTCAGGTGTGATCCGGACGGCGGTGGCTGACCTGGACCGCGAGACACAGGACCGATACGAGGTGGTGATCCGAGCCACAGACATGGCGGGGGAGCGGGGCGGGCCGGCGGGGGGCCCCCCCGGCCCCCATGGACCTGCAGAGCGAGCTGGCCCTTAGCACAGCAGCCCCTGCCCCGGGGACGCTCCTGCCTCTCGACACAGCGCCTGGCCCAGCGGTAGCGGTGAGGGCAGCTACCCCAGCCAAACCCGCCAGCCCTCTGGGCACGCGCCGGCTCCCCATGCGTGATCCAGGGGAGCAGGGGGGCTGCGAGACGAGGACAGGGCCGGCCCTTCTGCTCCCCAGTCCCTCCGAGCAGTGCAGGGAAGAACGCAAGTCTGAGAGGCTTCAGCAGCACCTGCTCCATCTCCTGTCCCTCAGGAACCTGGGCAGGGAGGCCGACGTCCCCTGGCCGCTGCGTTGGATCCTTGCGCCGTTCGAGTGCGATGCTGTGCAGCTCGCAGACAGCAGAATGGGCACGAGGCAGCTCTGCCTCCCAGGCTGTGCAGTCCGTGCCAGCTGCAGAGCCTGGAGCACTTGTTGGCATTGTGCAAGGGCAGGGCCGCAGCTGGAAGGTGCTTGGCTGTTGGCCCAGGGGCTCCTGGAGGTTGGAAGGGGTGATGTTTGCCAGGAGCTGGAGAATGTAGTGACCACAGGGTAGTGCTGTGTGGAGAAACCAGCCCTTTATCTGCCTGGAACCCCTCTGCTGCCAACTGCAGCCCTCATTTCTGCCTGGGGTTCATGGTTTCTTCCAGTGGGGTGTCCAGGGTGCAGGTACTTGGGGCTCAGGCAGCTCTTGGGTGACTGGGCAGGGTGAATTGGGCTGGGGAGGGACACGGGACACCAGTGCTCTCCCCACTCTAGAGATGTACCAGTTCAGCGTGGCGGAAACCGCCCCTGTGGGCACTGCCGTGGGGAGGGTGAAGGCAGAGGACTCGGACGTCGGGGAGAACACGGACATGACGTACCAGGTGAAGGACGAGGAAGGCGTGGAGATGTTCAGGGTCACCACAGACAGCAACACCCAAGAGGCCATCATCATGGTGCAGAAGGTGAGTCCCAGGGAGGATGCTTGGAAGTGCAGGGAGGGTTCCATAGGTGCTTTGCTCCACTCGCAGCATTCGGCAGAAAGAGCCCCCCAGAGCCGCCCTGGCAGCTGCCCTTGGGCACTGCAGCAGCAGGGACCCTTCCTTGTTCGGGCTGTCGAAGAGCAGACATGAGCTGCAAGGGAGCAGCAGTTGGGTGCCGGCACAGCTCAGCGCTGGGACTGTGGCCACCAAGTGAGCAGAGCATAGGTAGAGCTGTGCACGGTACCATGGAGACTAGTGCTTACAGCTGGGCTTGACAGCACTGTTAGGAGGAGAAATATGCCCACCTAATTCCTATCCCCGATCAACGGCGCTTTGAGTGCATCTGCTCTTGGTGGCAAACACAATCAAGCAAATACTTGATGCAGGCAAGGAAGAATGATTGTTCACCAAGGCCGCGGCGCTCAGCGCGCCTCCCTGCAGAAGCGATCGCGGGGTGATTAATGATAAGGAGTTGCTCACTTTGCGCACAGCGTGCTTGAGCCCTGGCGCGCGTGGCTGCTGCGCCCTGCGCCGCTGGGGTGCCTGGCTGCGCGTGGGGACAAAGCGGGGCTGGAAGCCGCTGTCCCCTCCTGCCCTAACCCTGCTGGCTCCGGGGCAGAGCGCGGGCGTGAGGGCTCCCGGCCTGCCCCAGGGGTTGTTGCAGGCGCAGGGCTGAGCGTGTGTGACCCTCTGCCCTGGTCCCAGCCTCTCGACTACGAGTCCAAGAAGGTGCACACCGTCGTGGTGGAGGCCCTCAACAAGTTTGTGGACCCGCGGTTCGTGGACCTGGGCACCTTCCGGGACCAGACCATCGTGCGAGTGTCGGTGCTGGACGTGGATGAGCCCCCCGAGTTCCGACCCCCCTCGGACCTCATGGAGGTGCAGGAGGACGCGCACGTTGGCTCCATCGTGGGGGTGGTCACCGCCCTTGACCC